ATTTGTCTTATCAACTGAAATAGGGTCAAGTGATAAAATGACGTGATAAAATGTCAAGTAAGTCATGGAATCACACTTTCTTCTTTCTCTTTTACTTTTATTTATTTTTTTTCTGATAGGCTGAGACGTTTAATCGCTTGAACCCTGTGAGAGAATAGCAAGAGAAAAATAAATAAAACCTTGTGAGGACTTGAATCTTCGGATGCTTATTAAAATAAAGAGGCTGTAAAATAGATAAAATGAAGCAGAAGAGAAACTGGAGAAAGAAAGAAAGAAAGAAAGAGAGAAAGAAAAAAGAAAGGATGCATGAAAGTTCAATAAATGGAAAAAGAAAGAAAATGAATTTTTATAGTATATACTCGTGTATAAGTCGACTTCATTTTCACCTTCAGAAAAAAAAAATTACCTGTGTATTGTACAACCCCCTATTTTTTGCGTAAAGAACTGAGCATAAAAAGTTGTACTATACACGGGTATATACGGTGATAGAAAGAAAGAAGACCTGAGTCAAGACTGAAACGGTTACGTATTTCTCACTAATGATAACGGTCGATGTTCAACTTCAAGTAAAGCAAGAGTATTTCGAACTCTGATTTTCTAGGCAGGCATACCCACTTCACTTGATATATTAGGGCAACAAAATCTTTCTATCTCCCGATTTACTTTCATTATTGTATTGTACTATGTTAAGCCTATGAAATATAGCAAAAGAAAGAAATGAGGCATAATAAAAAGAAACAGAGACAGAAAGGGAGAAAAAATTAGACCTAATGCAAAGAAAGAAAGAAAGAAAGAAAGAAAGAAAAATCGATTCTAATTCAAAGAAAGGAAGAAATGATGCATAATTCTAAGTCGAAAGAAAAGAAAGCAAAAATGATTCATAACGAAAAGAAAGAAAGATCAAAAGAAAGAAAGAAGGTGGATCTGTAAAAGAACAAAATTGAAAGAAGATAAAAAGAAAGAAATGAATAAAAGAAAAAGAAATATTTTTTTAAAAAATGTTTTTAAAAAAACGAGAAAGAAAACATATAAAAAAAAGGTCTACAAGTCTAAGTAAAGAAAACAAAATGATACAATAAAAAGACAAAATTAGAAATGGCATAAATTGTACGATGTGTAGGCTACTTTACGTTGCTGTCCCGCAGAAGAGTTCAGTAAATAACGCCCTCGAAAAAAAAAGCGCCAACGGTTTTAGTGCAAATGAATGGAGTATCTCTTCGCTGGAGCTTTGATTACACTTTTATGATAAGGCCTCAAATCTTTAGTGGGCATGGCAAGTGGTTGTTTGCATTTATATTCGGTAAGCGAACGTTTGCACTTTTCACGTCTGTCAATGCTTTGCTTGATTATACACGCAATTATGCAAATCTGGGCATCGTCTGTGATCAATGTTTGGAGATGGGGAAATGAGAAAAAAAGAAGAAAATTATATAAAAGAAGAAAAGGGAAATAAGTAAAAAGAGTAAACTAAAATGAGAATAAAGAAAAAAAATAGATGGAAGAAAAATTTACGAAAAGAAACGTCGCGAAAAAGAAGAGAAAAAGATTATAAAAAAAAACTTTCTTCTGTCTTACTGTCTTTTGGTAGACTATAATTTTATCGATTACATATTAGAATGCTGCACGAAAAAAAAAAAACAACTACTCAGAGCTAAACACATATTGTATCAAGTATATTCCAAGATTGCCAAAAACTTGAGTCGGACCTTCTTTATTAATAAACTTCATTCATAGATCCGTGGGTAATAGAGTAACTCATGACTACTGCGTCCAAATGTTTTGGAAGACTGTAAAAAGTTTTATGTTCCCAGTAAGCGCGTAATTGGATGACAATTTAAGAATTCCTGATTCTGTGGGTAAAAACGGAGAACGCGAACACTAAAGTAAAAGCCACACTGAAAGTTTTTCTCATTAAGCCGTCAGTTTAACGGCTGCTGAACCCACGATATTTGGCGATATAATTTCCCACCACGATTCACCTACAATGAATGCTGTTTCCGCAGCTTTTAGTGCATTTCTGTATGCAATTTGATGACCAGTCACGCAGCCTCGTTTACTATTTCACGCATGCGCGAAAGATAGGTACCTTGCCCTGGAGTTGCACACGGTTGCACGCGACTGTACTTGACAACGCCGACTAATGTAGCTACAAGCGATTAATTTATCTTTCGCGTTTGATTCGTGCCATGGACGGGCAATATTATTCTACTCAGAGACATAATTGATTATGACGACTGTTTAATAAGTTACGCTAAATAAAAACTAGAATTTGCCTTCATATTTTGTTTACTTTTTGTAAATAATAAATTATCCTCTAGGATTTATTTTACGTCCAGTGATTTTTCACTAAATTTTATATTCACTTTATTTTTTTTTTACTCATGTTCACCCAATACAAGGCCTAAGAGCCACTCAAGGTAGAGGGTTACTGAGTGAGATTGTTGCATGGACGAAAGAAGTTGTTGGATGGTTCTTTTTGTTTATCAACCTCCATGGTTATTTAATGCCGAAATCTAAATATTTTGTCCGCAATTTTATTTTTTTTGGTGGGGGGGAGGAAATAATGATTTTAGTGATACAAGTCTTAGTAATTAAACCATAGCTGGGAGGAGAAAAGAGGGACTCATACTTTTCCCAGGAGTATTTGCCCGTAAGTGAATATAACAAACACAACGGGAATTAGAACTCGGCTCTATAACAATTCCAAACCATTATGCATTACATCACCTGCACATCCAAGTTTACAGTACCTGGTATTCACAAACGGTCATCCATCTAGGTACGAGGCTCGACATTGCCTTCGATGATTAACTTATGGCCGCATCACTTTGAAAAATGATCGTACCAAAAAGATTGAAACCGTAGGAATGATTTAAAAGGTTAAAAAGATTGAATTTTTTTGATTTTAATGCGTTTTGTGATTATCTACGAAGATATTTTGTAGGACTTACGTTTTTGTTTAATGCGTTGTATACAGTGAGGTTTAATATACAATGTGATGATTTGTGTATTAATCTCAGTCATTCAGAGTGAGCTTTTAACTGAGAGCTCCATATGTAAGGCCTTGTTAGAAGATGATGTTGGTTTTGCAAGTATGTATCACAAAGTTAATGTATTGCTTACTCGTGAACAAAATTTTAGTTTATTCGTTTTCTACGTCTCATCAACACTTTGCAGGCTAATTAAAGCCCAAAAATGTTTTTAGATTGTAATAATTCTTCTGGAGATACTAATGATTTAGTGATACAAATCTTACTAATTAACTATCCTGTGAGTATCAGATTTTCCAGGCCCTCCTTCCTCATTGTGTACCCCAGAACTTTCAACTACCCCTTCCTGATGTTAAATATAGGTTTCCTTTTTGTTTCTATTTTCTCCAAAATTTCGTCGTTGTTCAGTCCATGATATCATTAGCATCTTTCTGTAGAAACACATTTCTGTTGCTTTAAGTCTGTTCTTCATCTTTGAGGAGATCGTCCAACATTCGCTGCCATACATGAGGAGAGATATCACGTAACAGTTCAGTACTCTTTTCTTTGTTTCCAACGAAACTTTTCTATCTTTCAATACTCTGCCTAGATTTTGGAATGCATCCTTGGCTATGCCAGTACATCTTTGGGTCTCAGTGTCGCACTTTCCGTCCTCTGTTAGAACACTTCCAGATATTAATTTTTTGTACTTGTTTGATTTTAGTATTCCCGATTTGTAATTTGCACTTTGGGCTCATCCTTTTACTGATTACCATGCATTCTCCCTTTTTGTAGTTTATACGTAATCATTTCTTCTCACTTTCCTTCTCTACCTTCAGTAGAAGAATTTGTCGTTTCTTTACCGTATCTGCTATCAACACTGTGTCATTTGCATACCTTATGTTAAGATTGTTACCGCCAGTAATGCATCCTGGTAGGACTTCTAATTCTCTCTGAATTGCCTCGCTGTATAAATCCGGTGAGAAGACACATCCTTGTCTTACGGACTTTCTATTGTTTGTATATCTGTTGAACTCATTTTCTGTCCGTATTCAGGCGGTTTGCTGCCAGCCTAGATTCTTGATTATTTTAATGTCCTTCCCGAATATGTCAAAGTTGCTGAGCGGCTCTGAAAGATCTTTGGGGAGTACTTTAGAAGAGTGATAGTTCTGATTTTTATGATCACGGCGCACTGTCGTAAGCTCAATGAACAGTAACGCCACCTAGCTCTCATTCAGACAGGAAGTAGACAGGCTGATGTCGCCGATGAACGCCATGTATCATAACATCTGATCAGTCGACTTGTTTCCGGACACCAGACGACGGGAACATGTCCATCAGAGGCTACATTCCGGTGTTGCACGTGCTACTAATTGTAATGACGATCAGTACATCCGGACCTATATTCCGCGCCATCGCCATGAAACTGTAAACTAGCTGCAAACACGTCTGAAAGCTGTCAGTGGGAGAGAAAGAATATACCGCCAGAAAATGCACAAGTTTTGTAATTTTGTCTTTGTTCAAAGTAGCCGAGAATTAGAAAGGTATTAGTTAGAGACAGCATCATAGGAACAGAAGTCTAGGTAGGAAAAACAAAGAATTTTATTAAATATTCATACATAAAACGGAAAAATCAACTACTCCTCAAATCCTACTCTAATGTGGCTACTTGCCATATTTATAACTAGGATCAGTCCGTTGTCAAAGTAGTAGGGAAGACAGGAAGTCCTACTTTACAACAGCAAGGTTCACCGTTTAGCACAACATAATAGACAGCTTTTGTATGTGCCAAATAGATCTACTATGGATTCGACCTCATGTATGCTAACATTGTCCCAATGGTAATGAGAATGTTATTTTAGTAGTTTATGTGGAAACATTTGGCATTCATTGACTGAATAGCCAGTGCTACACACCACTCACCAATCTTCACCCAATTCCAGGTAGAAGCACCTTTACATATTGAGGTCTTCTGTCATCATAAGTAGCGAGATTTTATCCAATGCTGGCTTCCTAGGCCTGCCGCGTAGCTTACAGTGACTGGTATCTCCTAGCGATTACATATCTAAGTACTGACCAGGCTCATCGTTGCTTAACTTCGGTGATCGGACGAGAACCGGTGTTTCAACGTGATATGTCGGTTAAAATTTATAAAATCTATTGTGACATAGCCCTCTAATTTGGGGTCACTTGACAAACAGAATGACCTAAGAAATAGTAGGAAGGGAATTTGGGATTGCGTGACAACAAACAGAATGACCTACTAAGAAAGGGAGTAAGAATCGGTCAACTACACTCACGTGACATACGTCATTAAGTGGGATTTTGGTATTGTAATTTTTAATTTCCCGATGACCTCCAACGACAACAGTTCGTGAAAAAATAGACTCTCATCATGCGATGAAAAATACACCCACAAGCCATTACTTGTTGTGTAGGGAATAAGGAAATTTCGTCCCGGAGATTGTGGGTCTATTTGGCTATTTAATGGATAAAGGATAAGGAAGGTCATATACAAAGAAATAAAAAGAAATCATCGTACTTTTATTTCGGATGCAATCCAATTAACAGAAGGGAAACGGAAAACATTCTTCCGGAATTCTATATTTCCCATCGCGGAAGAAAAAAAAAAAACTTTTGTGAACATTCTACAGCAACTTTGTCTGCCTGTCATTACGAACATTCGAACTCCAAATTCCTGAAACACAAACATTTGAACTGACATCCAATATCAGTTAAGTGCTCTTTTATTAATTGTACGTCTGTTACTCCATACTTTTCCCATATTTTGTATTTTGCTATATAAAAAAAAATTTACAAATGTTAATTACGTGTTTGTTGTTCGTCGGTACCTGTTCGTGTGTTCCTATCTGAGCGAATCCACTTTTTTTTTTTCTTTTTTTTTGAAGCTGGGGTTTATACCTTTATACGTTGCGAATTCGTAATATTATTCGTAGCACTATTAAAATAATCTTTCAGGAAAATATGTTTCTCAAGTCCACTAACTGCTGTCTCTCTTCCCAGTATTAATGGGGTTTTCGTTCCTAATCTTTTGTTTGAAGTAGTGTGGAACGTTAACATATTAACTATGCCATTACTTTCACATTGAGCTATATATGCTATCCATTTTAGTTGTTACTGCTATTGAAAGTCCTTAAGTGATGTCGTTTCTGTTATTTGGTACACCTTTTTTTGTGATTCTGTAACGCTAGTCCACGATATTTGAAGAAATGTTGTCCTCTCTAAAACCTACAGAATTCATTCGATCGAAGCCATTTGTAATTACTGACCGACAGCATTAGTTACTGAGGAGTACAGAAACACTTTTCCAAAAACAACGGTTGCCAACGGGCATGAAAACACGAACGTGAGAGCTATGCTACAATTAATTTTGTTTCAAACTGTCGAGCAGGAAGCGGTGACGTAGCATTCTAGAAAGGGGTAACAAGCAACAGGAAAATGGTCCAGGAACTCTCATTGGCCAGTCTTGCCTGTGGGATATTATTGAATCCCATTATCATCTCTCAATGGCACTACTATGACCAAATTCAAACTTCATTTTTTGATAATGCAATTTCTTGTCGTGCTCTCATCATTACCGCACGTCTCCAAGAGCTTAGTCTCCAACATATGAAGTGACCAGACTAATCAACTGTTCTTAACCCAATAGAACATTTAATGAGACTAGTTAAAATGATGTGTTTATGCTCATGATCCTACAGTGGCATCAGGAAACAACGTATTACCGTAGTCGAGAAGTGAATTGCTATACCGCAAAACAATATCCCATGACTGGTGAGAAGTTGGCTTTGACTGAATGATTTTTTTTTTTTTACGGTTTATCAACCTTTTGTCGTTTATTTAAAGCCAGAAAAATTTTATTCTACCAATAAAACTCATAGGAGAAAGGCGGAGTTACACTTTTCCCAAGGGTAATTGCGCGTAAGTGAATATAACGAACCCTACGGGAATTGAAACCCGGCCCTCCGATTAACAATTTCGAGTCATTATCCATTACACCACCCGTGTATTCAAGCTTACATCACCTGGTATTCCTAAGCTGTCACTTATCTATGTACTAACCAGGCTCGACGTTACTTAACCTGAGTGATCGTACGAGAACCGGTCTGTTAACGTGATATAGCCCTAAGCCGGTGAGGAGTAGGAGACAGGTATCAGCCAGAGATCAATGCCAATGACGGAAGTTTCTGTTTCTGATATCATGTTTGGAAATTTTTGCCATAAGCCATTAAAGCCAGATTTAACCAGTAAAGCTTATAAGCCTATCCTGTGTCCCCTTTGTGCAAAATAAACATCCTTATTACAAATACTAAAATTTAAAAGCAAGATAAAACATAAATAAGTGTATCTGTAATTATTTCAGCATTCTCAATTTATTGTGAGTACTATACGAATGTTAGATCCAAGTAGAAATCTTCAGAAAAAGATTTACCTGAAAATCTCAGTAAGTTAAAAACGTGGCTGAGTTGACTTTATACAACAAACTCGTCTAAGAAAACGACGTACATTCAAAAGTATTCAATCTATACGGATTCAGGCGTATAATAAGACCAGCAGTGTTGAACATTGTGTAAATATTATAAACAATTCTGATGGATGCTAGAAATTTCTCGGTTCAACCCATTTTCTCAAAATCTAAGCAAATGGCCAAAGATTGGGATTTTTGCAGCAGTGCCGAGATGCTTTTACAAGCTCTGGTAAGATTACAAAAAAAACAATCAATAACTAACTGTACTCAAGGATGTTCCACGAGTATTATGACCATCATTACTTTTGAATATAGTAATTTACTAAGCGTAGTTTAGATGTGGTGAGGATCGAACTCAATACTCCCATTGTAACCGATCTAGCGAGAACAAGCTTGCTAACAATTACACCACGTCGAAGGGCCCTCGTTACATTTAAATATATCTTTTTGCAATCACTAAAAAATATGGCTGTTATATGCATGTTAGATATAAATTTGTACATAAAATTAATAAAAAATAAATACGTTAGACAAGAAAGATATTAAGATTTGTCCGACTAATGTAAATACTGTAAGATTTGTTTGTTTGATTCGTTTTTTTTTATGGCTTATCAGCCGTTTGCAGGTTATATAAAGCCAGAAAATATTTGTAAATTGTAAGAATTTCTTTTCGGAGATAATGATTATTTAGTGATACAAGTCCAACTAATTAACCCATAGCTGGAGAGAGAAAAGATGGATTCATACCTTTCCCAAGGGTATTTGCACGTAAGTGAATATAACGAATCCAACGGGAATTGGAACTCGCCGCTCCGATTAACAATCCCGCTCAATGTCCATTACACCACCTGCACATCTAAGCTTAAAGCATCTGGTATTCTGAAGCGGTCGCTCATGAAAGGTATTAAGAGTTAAGATTACATATAGATTATAGTGTCAAACACGTCTTTAGCGTCGGTTAAGCAACGGTTATCGAGTCAGGTCGTGTTTGCAAAGCTCCTGGAACTAATTATTTAGAAAGAGAGAGGGGGGAGAAAGAGAGAAAGAGAGAGAGAGAGAGAGAGAGAAGCGGGATTCCATGACCTTACTATGACCATTATAATCTTTCATGTGCAATTTTAAGCTGGTCGGATTTTCTGCTCTACTGAGATCTTCATACTTCACCCAACACCGCAAATTGCTACGAACCAAAACGTCAAGCGGAAAACTAGTGTCGTCAGACCGAGACATTCATATGGATGTCACACATGGCGGCAAACCAGTTCAGAAGTGTCTAAACTCTCAGTTGCATACAACCGATTCCTAAGATCAACGGTGAAAACAGGCTTTGAGCAAGTCTGAGGGTCTTGGCAAAGATCATCCTTCTTTGAATATTGTGGACTGGGGCTACAGAATCACAAACCAAGAACTGTAGCAAATAACAGAAACCACATCACTTGAGGACTACCAACAGCAGCAACAACTAAAATGAATGGCACATGTAACTCGAAGAGAAAATAATGACATAATATATTAAAATTTCACACCATTTCAAATAGACGGTTAGGAAGGAAACCTTCATCAATACTGGAAAGAGCGATAAAATCTACTGAACTTGAGAAACCTGTCTTCCTATAAAAAAAAGTGTTTTAAGAGAAAGATTTTATAAATTTTAACCGAAAACCCTACTGGCTGATCGGTCAATGAGTAACAAATGTTTCCTTATAGGGAAACGGCTAATATAAGCGTTACCATTACCATAGACGAATACAGGATGCGGGAGAAACAAAGCTTCTTACGCAAATGTTCTTATTTTCTATATGCAAAAAATGCATTATTTTTATTGCATTTTATTTTTATTCTTGGAAATTAATATTTCAAATGGAATTAATGTTAAGATTAAATAGGAAATATTTATCAATCTCACATTTTTCACTTTTATTAAAGCTTCATCACAGAATGAGATATGGAGAAAAGATTTGATAAGTAAAAATACCAAATCTTTTTCTCCATATCTCGTTTGGTGTTGTTTGCTATTCATTGGTTAATAAAAGTAAGAATAGCAAAATTCCTTTCTTTTTTTCCTCTATATTTCATTCTCTGGTGAAACTTTAATAAGAGTGAAACATGTGAGATTGATAAACGTTTCCTATTTGTTTTTTATCTTATCATTCTGTCGGCTTCCGATCCATATTTGATCTGTATTTGATCCCACTTCTAATGAAATTATCTACTTTTTACAAGAACAATCAAAGCAGTGATAAAAAGTGTCTTGTTAAAATATAATAAAACTTCCCAAAAAATTTAGTTTTGTTTTCAATTAGTTCAACGCATCAATACTGACAAAATAAAGTGTCTTATCCAAGTGTTAATAAACTAATAAACAATTCTTCGCTTAGGTCAGATCAGACGTTCGAACCACGGCGAGATTCATGTAATTTTACATAGAAGGTAGAAATGGGTTTGGTTTGCACGAGAGTCAAAAAGGTAGATATATAGCGATTTTCTAAGCACAACTTTCATGTGGCGCAAAGCCGAAAGTATATCAAAGCACTCAGTAATTATCAAACCCACTCTTTAGTCGTAATTGATCTAGCGAGACAAGCATGCTAACCATTACACGACATGGAAGTGCCCCAAATAGACAGATATATGTACAGTAAACAGTTGGCTCTTTCAGAGATACGTATTGTTATCCCCAATTGACAGAACGAAAAACTGGTAAGTATTAACTGATATGAAATATCACCTAAGCATGGACGATTATGGCCACATCACAATGAAACACTGGTTCCTGTACGATCACTAAAGTTAAGCAACGTTGAGTCTGTCCAGTAACTAGATGGGTGACCGCTTGTGAATATCAGGTGCTGTAAGCTTCGATGCGTGGGTGGTGTAATGGATAATGGTTCGGAATTGTTAATCGGAGAGCCGGGTTCCAATTCCAGTGGGGTTCATTATATTCACTTACGCGCAAATACCCTTGGGAAAAGTATGAATCCACTACTTCTTCCCCAAGATATGGGTTAATTAGTAAGATTTGTGTCACTAAAATCATGATTATCTCTAAAAAAATAAATAAATAAAATTGTGTACAAAATATTTAGATTTCGTCATTAGAGGTTGATAGGCCGCTAGATAAAACCAACCAACTAAATATGGAAACAGAATGAGCGCGATCTACTTCCTTCTAATAGAAAGTCAGAGACGGTTACCAAGCTCAAAGATAGACACCTGAGGAAGACCACAGTGTGCAACAGTCGAAACGTTGTAAGTATAACAACCAAGATGAGCAAGTTGGTTCGAATTTCAAATTATATAATACTAACACCTATCCTAGAAAATAAAGAAGTGGACTATAAGTACTAACTTACGGTTACATCTAGTCATTTCAACTGTAAAATGATGAGACCAATAGGTCATGTTACAGAAATTTTGGAATCCCAAGTTTTCATTACTACGATTGTTTTCGACGATTTTTTACGTGACTTTTTGCGACGAATTTTTTTGTACGATAACAATTTTTTATAATTTGGAAATAAATTTGGGAATAATCGAAATTAATTGCGATGGTCACCCATGAAATAAAAATAATTGTTTGTACGGAAAGTAAGGACCTAAGAACATCAAATTGTCTTTAAATTAAGTGACGACAGAAGAATTATCGTTGAACTTTTAAAAGGTAAGCTTAAATATTAATGTAATACTTAAATGCAGTGATCAATTTTGAGCTCTTCTGTAGTTTATTTTTGCCTATCGCATATGGCAGTAGTATGCACCACGAAAAGAAATCTCCGCCAACAGTTCATCAGATTTCTATCAAAATGAGCCAAGGCTGCAGCGAGGAAAACTGTAAATGAAAACCCAAATTAAACGGCAGCCAGGAGAGCTTCTAATTTTGATATGCAAACTCCTGAACAAGCCGAAGGCCCAATCAAGGGCTCTCCACGGGAGTTAGTCTAAATATCGCCCGACAGACCGGCTTTTAAGTTAGTCGAAAAAAAAAGCATTCACTTCGCTTGGAGTTCGAGATTCAAACGTATCACCTATTTCAGGCTAGACGATCAGATCAATTATTCGTAAGCAATGAGAGGAACATGTCGGATATATGTCACTGTTCCTGCTAACCAGAGAAAGAAAGTCAAAGAAAATTAAAATCTAGAATAAAATGGATAAATATAGAGAGAAACTGGAAAAATGTTTTTGAAACAATTTTAGCTATCATTTTGGCAGAGACTGGAAGAGTTTGAAAGAATCGAAAATACAAGGAAAAATCGTAACCTTCCAAGCGACCGAATCACTAAAATTAAGATACCCAGAAAGGTGTTGGAGAATTAACAAGAAATGTATTCATGCCATGCCCAAAGGAATTAATGCGAAATTGAACGTAAGAGAAACAATCAGAATTCGAACTCGGATTCTTGATTACTATTTTCCAAGCCAATAACCATACACTATTCGCACACCCAGCGTGGTTGATATTTTTCATTTACCTCAAATAAATTATTGATGTTTTTCAAGTTACATTTAACCTTTGTACTCTAAAATTGTTTATTGACATAAGATTGTTTTTTACAATCTATATTATTATAGAACAATGATATTCACCCTGCACAAGGCCAAAGAGCCACTCAAGGTAGAGAGTTATAGAGTAAGAGGCACCACTCCAAGCAAGGTTATAATGCCAACAAAGCACAAGAGGCCACCGGAAGTGAAAAAGAACGAAAAGAATTTAGAAGAAACCAGTAACCCAATCCTAAACATAAAGGACTCTTCTGTTGTTTTCGGCGTATGAGGGTCCAGCAGCTCAGTTCTTGGAACCAAAAAATATGATTTGATTACAGTTGGGAAAGCTTGTGCAGAACCAACCAAAATCTTCGGAAGAAACAAAAACAAAGAATGATGCACATAGTATGCCGGAAGGTCTCCTAACGATCTCCCAATTATTTAATCCATAGATAGGGGTAAACAAAAAGATGGATCCACACATTTCCCAAGAGTAATTGTGCATAAGTGATTGTAATGAAATCGACCGGAATTCGAGATCAACTTTTCGATTTCTCATTCCGAGCTGTTATCCATGACAATGTATATATATATATATATATATATATATATATATATATATATGTAGAGAGAGAGAGAGAGAGAAAGAAAAGATGACGATAGGTAAATTATCGCCATTTTATATTTTTAATTTCGCGCATGCACGTTGTATGGTTTTGTCGACTGCAGAGTATAGTAGGATCACAGTTAGGCAGTGTCTGTGAGAAAAAAGAGCACCATGACGCAATTCACTCCACCAGAAATTTGGAAACGACATTCTGTACTGCTTGGCGTTCGCACCGGAAGCTGTAATATGAACATTTCAGAGTGTTTGGGTGTCAATCTGAGGACAGGGCAGAGTTGGATGAGTCTAATAGTGATTAAAATGTATTTGGAGTGATCACTAGTGTTGGCGACGTTATGTCTCCATTCATCTTCCCACAGGAACTCAGGACTCAACACGGAGGCCTGAATCAAGTGCCTTGAGGAGGTAAGGCTGCTCTAGGTCAAGAGGGTGGCTGATAGAAGACTCTATGACTGGCAACAGGAGTTTGTGCCATGCCACACAAGCAGGAGAATCTAGTCATAGCTGTCAGACAATCTCACATCACCTCTTACATCTGGCCACCGAACTCCTAGACTGCAACCCTCTTGATTATGATGTGTGGGTCATAGTTAAGTGAGTGACCAACAAAACTCCTTGTAACACCAAAGATGAACTGAAAGCAAGGGTTATGGCAGCATTCACTAACTTAAACAAGGAGACCGTCTAAAAGAGTTGCAGGAGATTCCGAAGTTGTCTCTAGGCCGTGGTTGAAGCGTTGAAGCCAATGGCGATTTTCTTCAATAAATTTACTTAAGCATTTCAAGATATTTTTGTGCAATTTTGGTAAATATATCAGTTAAAATGAGATGTCGGTGTTATTTTCATTTAATTTAGACTACAATTGATCCGTTGCACCCTGTGTATATATATATATATATATATATATATGTGTGTGTGTGTGTGTGTGTGTGTAAAATTTCAAATATATAACTAAAAATACATTTGTAAAAGGACAATATGAAGACAAAAGGAAAACTCATCTCAGTCGACGCGTTTCATCATCCGATGGACTTTATAAAGGATAAAGTCCATCAGAGGAGGATATATATATATATATATATATATATATATATATATATATATATAATATATATTCTCGAAACCGACCTGACTCAGTTCACAAAACCACTATTACGATTACTGATTTTTGTAAGTAGGTTGGATTAAAAACTTTTCAACAAACACTCCTAAGTTGTACAATACGACGCAAAATCAGGAGGAAGATTGTGCTGCGTCAACCTTCCTAGCGGATAGTTTGCCGTAAGAGTTAACATTCAAAATTCAGAATTTTCACTAAAACACCCAACTTTTAGTACTAGTGGAAAATATGCAAATTTAATATGCAATGCGTTAAATTTTAAATATTCCTAATTCTGTATTTTTTAGCTGATCCTCTCGTAAAATGAATATTTTTAGATCTATTATCCTACTGTAAACATGTTTTGATTTTAAATACATATTTTGTTCGGTTGTACTTATTTCTCTTTTACATATTTTATTTTACATATTTTAGAAGCTAATGTTTAAAATAAAATGAAATTTCATTATTTCCCAAATTAAAAACACTAATGATTTTAGACAAATGATACAGCTCAGCTTATTAGCGTTGTCAGAGATCGAGGCCAAGAGGACGAATTATCAAACAAAGTACAAAAAATTAAATCTCTGGGAAATGTTCTAACAGAGGACGGAAAGTGCGGCACTGAAATCCGAAGACAATTTGGGATAGCCAAAGATGTATTCCAAAAGTTAAGCGGAGTATTAAGAGACGGAAAAACTTCGTTAGAAACTTGGGAAAGAGTAGTTAACTGTTACGTAATATATTTCCACCTCAAAGATGAAGAAAATACAAAATGTTGTTCTACAGAAGGATGCAAGTGATCAACAGCAAGATTTTAGAGAAAATGGAAAGAACAGAAAATGAAAAAGAACAGTTGAAATTTCTGGAGTACATAATGAGGAAGGAGGGCTTGCAAAATCTAATACTCACAGGACAAATTGCGGGCAAAAGGGACTGAGGATATCAACACATAACAAACTTAATGAGCTAGAGTAAATGGATGGCGGAAGAATGGATTTTAGGAGAAGCAACAAATAGACAAAATTTATTAAGAGCTACAAACCACATGGAATTCTGGAGAGCTATGATCGCCTACATCATGAGGGGACATGACACAGGAAGAATAAGAATGTTGTTGTTGAGCTTCAACAATATGAAATAGTATCAATGCAGTGCATCAAATATGGTCACTAATTTCCGGAATTTATGAAACATTGTGTCGATGTATACAGGGTGGCTCAGTACTTCGTAGGCACGTCTTTTAATAGCTCTAGCTTTATTTTTTAATTTGTTCTGATCATCATTTCTTTTCATATAAGCGATGACAAACATCAAGCTAACTCAGCAAATGAAAAGACCCGCTGTAATCGATGCCCTAAAGGCAGATCATAGCGATTTAGTGATTGCTCGCTTTCTGAATGTTGCACGGTTGTTTGTTGTTCGCAAAAAGCTAAAAAGCCGGTGACATAAACGTAAAATGCCTGCTAAGGGTTCTAAAACCATCAGATCACCCAAAATTTGTACAAAATGTGCAGAAAATTATCGACTATAACCCCCCAAAATCAATTAACGCCATTGCAAGTGGGCTCAAGTTTTCAACGCTCTCTGAATCCGTCGGACTACAACGAATGGGCCGCAGTTAAGAACGAAATCAATCAAATGCCC